AATCAACTAATTTTTTATTATCAACTTTCACTGTCAACCTGTATCTTTCCAGTAACAAAACAGTCTTATCTCCCTTGCCAATTGTGGTGTTTATTGTGATTTGTTTATTGTTTAGTTTCTCAAGTGACTCAAATTGTTTCAGGTTTAGGAACACTCAGGTTGGAGGAAATATTGGACACTAACCATGATGTTTTATTCTATTTGCAGCCACAAGATAATCTCATCATACTAATCAGAGGGAAAATATTATGTATAACTTTCAATACAAGATTCTATGTTACATGACTCCTCCTCCTTAGTGGGCAGCTTCAGACAAATAAAATTACATAATAAAATAAAACCTGTGTAGTATGTTAGCTTGTGTAAAAAAAACCAAAAAAAACTAAGCAGTAGAACATTGTTGGCAAATATTGTGAAGTCAGATAATCTGACTAGAACGTGATTAAAATACCTCCATCAGAACAAACCAAAAGGAGCTTTCATAATAATTACTCAATTATTGCATTTTATTTTTAGTGGAAGAAAGCATCTTACAATATGCAAAACCTAATGTGACACCTAGACGTAAAAGGTGCCTTTACCACATCTGCTTATCCAATCAAAATAATCTTGGACAATACAGAATTATTCCCCATTTGCCAACATCTTCTATTTGTCCTTTCAATTAAAAATAGAGGCACACGCCAAAAAAGAAAAATGGGGTTTCCTTTGCTCCTGAAAGCACAAGGGTGTCACAATAATGAGCACAAGCCCATTACCTGTACTCAGTCTGGAGGACCTAGGCTTCCAATGCACAATATCAGTTTGCAAAATACTTGTTTTGAATAGCATTTACTCTGAAAAATACGGTAGATTGTTACTTTTAAACAATTTAATTAAATACATAACTAGTGCTTCCTCAATATTATGGCCTCCTTATTTCACTGGACTATAATCATGTATAATATTAAAACAATGGCAATTATCTAAATCTCAGTTGAGAAATACATTTTAAAAATGATTTCAATTTTCTTAAATACTCTTTCTTTAACCAGATCATATTTTGAAAGTAGGAAGATACTCAAGTAGATAATATTCTCAAGGGATTAAATTATGAAATTTATCAGTTTTCAAATAATTAATTCATTATTAATGCATTTTTTCCTTTAAGATATTAGCTATACCTACATTCATTTGTTCTTCTGTTATAGCTTATTCTGAGATACAGATTGTCCCACCATACATTTTTCAAGGTAAATAGATTGTATCCTATGTACCAAGACAGTCATATGATCTATCACTTGTGGATACATATCATTGAGAACAAAGGGCATTTCCAGATTATCGTGACCCACAATTCAATAATTTATTTGCCAATAATCATCAAATTAAGATACCTGAAGATTATACCTATTTTTGATAAGGCAATACAGCATATTCTTTAAAAAAATAGATTCCATTCCATAATGACACTATTAATGATGTAACAGAGCACCATCTAGTAAGGCATTTATATATAATATTCTACTCAGCAACAAGCTTATAGCAGACATTATATTAAGGTCGTGGATTGGATGGATGGGGTAATAGAAACAAATATCAAAAATACCACAATTTATGTACAATGACGACTGTAGGTTTGTGAACCCTTTTGAATATTCAATATTTCTGCATAAATATGACCTAAAACATAATTGTTCTCAACACGTCCTAAAACTATAAAGAGCACTTACATCTTTTGCAACTTTTGTCTACTTACATCTTTATATCAATCTTTTTGTCAAATTACATTTTTAACAACATTACCAACAAAAGTGTACTGTTGCACCAAAACAGAAAACAATAGTGAGATTAGAATATCTATTCCACTACAGGAGTGATTCAAATAATACTGGAGATATTTTATTAAGCCAACTAAAGGCAGTAAAAAGATCAGCAAATCAGTTCCAAGTGGTAATTCAGCACAAATAACTGCCATATTCCACAAAAAAGAGATAATAGATTTAGCTGTACAAATAGCTTTCACCATCTTCAGGTTTTCTGAAAAGATATTATCTAATACAGAGATGAAGTCTGGACATAACAGGATTAAGCAATCTTTTCCCACTTGTACAGTGGATATTTGAAAAGTAAAAACATCAGACCAAGCTAAATCTCTTCAGATTTTTTTCCACTTTTATCATAACCTATAACCTGTACAATTCAATAGAAAAACCCTATCTTGGTCATCAACGGATGAAGAAAATATGGCACAACAGTCACATTACCAAGAATTGGATATCCTTCAAAAACTGATGAACAAGAAGAAAACTAGTCTGAGAGGCTGCCAAGAGATCTACAGCAACATTAAAGGAGCTGCAGGAAATTCTGGCAAGTATTGATTGTGACTACATGTGACAACAATCTTCTGGATACTTCATATATGTCTGGGCTGAGGGTTAGGGTGGCAAGAACAAAGTCTTTTCTTACAAAGAAAAACATCCAACTCTGACTACATTTACAAACCTACATCAAGTAAAAAAGCATGTGTTATGCTCTAATGAAACAAAGGTTGAACCTTTTGGCCATAATTCCAAAAAGTACATCATATCCTCAATGTAGCATGGTGGTACAGCATTGTGCTTTGGAGCTAGAAAAGAACTGAATAATTAACTCACGTTTTTCTCAGGGTCTACAACTCCCGATGCAGCAACAGAGAGTTCAAGCTCCTTTTCACTATTAAAATAAAGAGGGAGAAACCCACTTTCACTGAGGATTAAGACACGTTAGCTTGAGATATTTTATTTATCTAAGGTAATTCAGCATTATAATCCAGATCTTCCAGATTCAAACTGAACAATCATTGGGAAAGCTATAGCTTCATCTGCTCAAGCCATTGTAATCAGTGCTCTGATACAACAAATGCCAATAGATCCTCCTAATGATCCTTATAGAGCAATAGATCAATCATATAAACTAAATCCCTCAATCATAAATCCATAGCTGGCCAATATTTCTGTTAGAACTAATAAAAAAGAATTAAAAACATCAACGTTTTCCAAAAGACAGATCTCAAAGGAAGGAAAGACTCAAGAATGTCCAAACCTAAATTTCTAAATTTCCTAAATTTCAAAGATTAAAATACAATTCAGACAGAAAAAGAAGTTATAAAATGATCATGTATGTATATAATATATATGTAATAATGATAACATTACTCTATTTGAATTCACACTATTTGAAGTGATCTATCTATGATTAATTGGTTCTAGCACAATAGAAATAGGCAATTGAAATGTTTAAATATAAATTTGTTTATTAATGAAGTACTGTGTAACAGTAAAAGAGAGTAAACGCATCTACAAAATGTATGTGCTTAACTTGTATATATTCTGTTGTAATTTTACATTAACCACTTTTTCTGAGCTTTCCTTGAGCAGAAAGCTTCCTTTCTTCCATTTTCCACACAAAATTATTAGCATCTAAATCCCCAGTGGCAACTGTACATGCACTTGCCCCAAATGCACCACATTAGCCTTGCACTAACTTAATTCTGGATTGCCTTAAGATGCTTTGGTATCAATTTATAATTTGCACCAAATCCGATATTGCACTACTCAAACTAAAATCTACCTGTAAAAATAAATGTTATTACTAATCAATAATGAAATAATTTTTAACCATCATTCTTCTATTACCGTCTCTTATTTCTTTGCTGCTCAGCCATTTGCTCTATTAAATCTTGCCTGTATTGTTCTTTTCTTTTCTGAACATTTTCTCTGTCTTGACTTCCTAAAAAAGGAAATAAACAGAAGCAAATATATTTCATCCAAAACTATGCCATATTTATTCCTACTGCATAGTTCCATTAACATTGTAACCATAGTAAGAAACATCTTTACATCCAAAAACTGAATTACAGCTTATTCACTAGATAACAAATGAGATAAATTGGCTCTGAACTTTCCACTGGAATTAATAATTAATTTTCATATCTGAAAAATCAGTAATAACAATTTTCAGAGAAACAATAGTACAGCAATGATGTCTTAATTAGGAGTTGTATCTGCAGATGATCTCTAAAGTCAAACAAGAAAAAAATCAGATAATCCAATCCCCTGTATCTCAGCCTGCGGGATTGATTTTTTTTTTTCAAATTTCAAATGCATCAACCAATAAAAGTAGTGCAGAATAATGCAATATTTGATCAGCTTTATCTAAAGTACCTCATATTATTTTGGGGGAGAATGACAAAGTAGAAGAAACAAGATTATATATTGCAATGTTTTTAAACTATCTAATATCATAAATTCTTCCATCAGAATAGTGGTTTACTTCAATATAGTTGAAGAAAGAATGTTGGAAAATGTTGGAAGCGTGAGGAAATAAAAGTGAGAAAATTACTGTTTGAATAAGGACAAGTTAGAATGAGGAAAACAATGAGCTGGATGGTGAAATACAAAAATAAATTGGGCTGGTGAAACCCGAAAATATTTCAGAAATAAGCAACAATTTGCCAGAAATCTGCTACATAGGAAGGAAGTATCTATGTGGATGGTGTTCCCACCACAGACAGCTGCTTGAGAAAGAGTTGCTATTCACATTGACAGAGATGAGATGCAGAAAACAGCAGCTGGACTTGTGTATTTGAAATATGTGTGGTCTTCATTTAAGGTCCAGCAAGTATTCTAACTATGCTAAACAAGGGAATGAGTTCTCATAATTGTAGCTATCACAAAGTCCCTCAGTCACAAAATTCAGGCTCTTAGCAACCAGCTTGTAATGACGACATTGTAGTGTCCCAAAGTTGTATGATCACCATTTATGACCTTCACTGCCAGCTTCCTTAATGATTTTGCTTGTCAGAAGCAAAGGCAGAAGATCACAAATGGCGATCAGGACACTGATTGTATGGGATTTGCCTAACAATGCCAACTGGAACTGCCAAAACTACCATTATAATTGGCATGGTCACATTCAATTTACTGAACTTATATAGCACTCCATCTCACTTTCAGGTAAGTACAGTTCCCTTCTCCTAAGTCAGTTGTCCCACCATGAGTCCAAGTGGTCTAGGTCTATGTGCAGTAATACTCTGTCTGCTCATAAAGTATTGATAAAGATTGTGGACCTCGTTTGTGTATAATTGAGACATGGCTGCACAATGATAAAGATGGGCTTATCAAAAATCTGGTAAACTGAGTTTTAGATACAGCTATTGTGATGCCACGATCAGAAAAAAAAGTTTTGCAATAACTAGACTGGGGAATATGTGCATGAAATATCTATCTCCTTGACAGTGGCCTCCACGATCTTCTGGATCTCAGTTGCTGGCTAGAATTCCTGAGGAGGTTGCCCCAGTGGATCTTTTCTCAGTCATCAATCCTAATTAGGTCCTTGGTTTAATTAGGAGCTAAGGATGATGAAACAACTGAACAATAATTACATGTAGTATCAAAAAATAACATTTTTTAGTATCCCAGTTTTTCAAACATACCAAGTATTAGTCCTGTGGCATATGGAACAGCAGTCTGTACTTGCTCAATAGGGGAATATCCTTGACTTCTGAAATGAAAGATACAAAATTGGTCACTGAGTAATTTTTTAAAAATATAGAAAGTTTAAGCTAACCTAGCAAAGGATTTAATGGTAAATCCTAAAGTATCCAAAATATTTAAAGGTATAAAAATTGGGCTAGTCCCAGGGGCACACAGATCATCCAATCATTCTTCAACAGGAAATGAATTGTAATACAGCTAGTTCTCAAATATTATGGAATAATATTCTAAATACAAAACGAGGTAACTGAACTACAGTGGTATAGAAAAATTGCTAGCCTTAAGGTAATTATCTAGTATAGGGAGGGCTAGCATGGGACAGCTGAACTCAGGGACAAAGATGCTTACCATCATTCCCCTCAAAGTACACTAATAAGGAAAGTAAATTTACCTTTGGGCATGAAAGACCCGCAATGGTTTTTTGTCATAGTCACTTTCATAGCGAAATCTGGGATCCATTTCATCATTTATTTCAGGATCATGATCCTCATACTTGTGATGTCTTTGGGAATAGTTATCCGGTTTGCCATCCAGCTTTCCTTGCTTTCGACTGGAAATGTTCAGTTTTTCATCAAGTGTTTTATTCAGTAATAAATCCCCAGAACCAGGTTCAATATCTTGTTTATGTTGTTGGTCTAACAATAATCTTATATTTGATAACCCATCATAGGTATCTGTAGATGTATAAGCATCTTTCTTTCTGGAGTCTTCATCTTTTTGAAAAGACACATTTGGAGCATATAATTCTGATTGGATTCTGCTAACAGCAAAATTTTGCTTATCTGTGTCATGCTGTTAATACAAGACAAATATTTAAAGACTAAATACAACAAAATCATTTTGATTATATTTGTTTCAATTTTAAGACACATTTTAATTTTAATTAGCCATTTTCACAAACACTCAAAAAGCAAGAGGAAATGTAATGGCATCTTAAATAACCACAATGAATTGTTTTCAATATAAGACATGCAATGCAAGATACAAGTAGAAGGAGTCTTATGTTTGGTAATGTCATAATTTTAAAATATTCTGTCAACAAAGATCAGATTAGCCACCTGTATTTGTTTGGACATCAACTTAAACTTTTTATATTTTTCTAGCCATTTCATCTTTTATAAATTTAATCTGGTACCTGGTTGAAATGGCTTTATATTTCAGATTTCTGCCATCCACCCACTTTTATGGAGAATATTGTATAATTTTGAGACAGTTGAACATGTCATTTTATTTGTATATCAATTTATATGAGGTGATGGGTAGTCTAGGCATTTTTAAACTAAATACAAAGAAAGGATATGCCAAAAATATGATCATTACTTTTCCCTCTCATTCACATATTTACAAATGGCAAGCAAAAGTAGAAAAGCGGTTAAAAAGAGCGGATTTATACGATGTCATATATGATAAAAATCTAGAAAAACACTAGCAAATATTATATTGCCTCAACCTATGTTAGTCCACCATTGTTTCATAAGTACACAGAAGTCTGTATTTATAAGCTAATGGATTTATATAAAGGAATATTTAAAAAAAGATTATTGTCCTTCCCCAATTAAACTTTCTTCCAGCTTAATCATTGGTATCATTCCATTGTTTCCAGTATGATTGAAAAAAAAATCTATCTTTTACCTCTCTTTGTTTCTTCCCTACTCTTCTTAACCTTTCATTCCATTCTTCCTTTTCCCTGAGATACTGATTGTATTCCTTGTTTCTTTCAAGTCTTAACCTGTCCTAGAACAAATATCAGAAATTGCACAGAAGCAGCAAAAGGTTTTAAACCATAGGGACATGATTTTTCTATATATGAAGCAAGATTGCAAAAAGATTTCAATTTTATACGGATGATCTGTTCGCATATAGAAACACAGAGACTCTACATGTAACTAAAATCAAGGTTCTGAGGTTTATTTAGAATTTCATATTCCAGGGGATCACTATAATGCAAAATGCATTTTGCCAACATCAAAGTTTCACCCGAACAAGGAAATCATAATTTGATATTCATTTTTGAAAGTACAAGAGCGGCTATTTTTTTAGCATTAATAATATAAAATCAGAAGGGAGTACCCTGAACATTTCCCCTGAAACTTGACTGTTTGATCATTGATACATACCAGCAGGAATTCAGTAACTGTAATTAGCTATCCAAACACATGGGGAAAATATTTTGAAATCAGAAGTTGGTAGACTAGCTTTTAAAAAAATGGAACCAAAAGAATTTGAACTTAAATTTTACTTTACACCACTAATTGCAACAAATTAGTTTTGGCTGTTAAACTTTTTATTTTCTAATTTGTAAGTTAAAATACATCAAAATATATATTTGCAAATTGTTTAAATTCCCAAGAACTTACCTTAGCTGATCTTCTGTCGCTAATAGGAAGAGAAAGTCCCTGAGTATATGGGTCAACTTCACCAGATGTTAAATACCTTTTCTATTAAAAAATGAAATAAATATATATTTAAATCAAATAATCTTTATAAGTTCTAGAAATAATTTAAAGCTAATATAAACTGCTAATCAATTTGTATATTCTGTATTGATTATATTTAGATAATACAGAATTATCAATTTTGCAGTGAAATCAAATACAGGAGTATCAGTACAATTAAGATGATATGAACAGAAAACTATGAATAACATGTGAAAATCAATTTTTTAATGGTGGGACAGCCACAAAACAAAGACAAGCACAAAGACTGATTTTTCACCCAAGACTTTTTAATACCACATTCAAATAAAGTGAGATATGAATTTGAAGAGTAGCATAATGCAAGAATCATACCTTTTTTTTTGCCTGTGACATACCCTAAAAGTTTGGAAAACAGATTTCATCTTAAAGAATACTCTATCAACAATAGTTCTGGATATTTTTCCTTCTTTAGACAGACAACTACAAATCTAAAACAATTTAAAGAAGCTGATTCTTAAAAAGTGCAGTAAATAATATCTAATATATCAATTTACACTATTACATTTAACTACTTCTAAAAACATTTCCAATGTTTTGGAAAATTGTCACTGGAAATTCTTCTATACATATTGGGATCATTATCTTTGCTACTGCATCATCACACAAACTCAAGCACATACTGAAAATTCAGCACAAAAGGATTTAAAACATCTGAAAGTAGATTTTTTTTAAACTAGTTGTTAACCAAGTTTGTTCTTCCTGCCATTCCCTTATGAAGTATCATATGTATATTAATGATATTAGATATGATATAAAACATATTTTTCTGCTAATTCATCTTTTGATGCTAAGTTTAATTATATACTAAAGTTATTTTTCCATTTCTCTAATCCAAACTCATGTCTCACTTTTTTGTACTGAATATATAAATATTCTTCTGGGGTTTTTTCCAACTGCCTCTGTTTTTCAGGCATTATCTTCTCTTGTTCCCTTCTATTTCCAGCTGCTTCTTCAATATTTTTATCTTCCATCTATAAGTAAAATCCCTCTAACATATTTAATCTAGATAGATGCATCACTTAACTCTGTCTTTTCATTTGTCTGAATAATGCTGATTGACCCGCAGTTCCTTAAATATTGTCAAATAAAACATCACAGCAATGTTAACTAAACATAAGTGAAAATCTTGTCTCAGTAAATAAAATATTTAAAAGTTAGGTTCAGGTTTCATACACACCAAAAATATACCCAAACATTACCACTACCAGAAATGTTTTATAGAGTCTTACATATAGTCCTCAATTTATGATTGGTTGCTTAACAGCCATTTGCAGGCATGCTATTCATGGTGCTTTAAGGCCCATAAAGCACATCCAGACATCATAAAATGCTACACTACCCTCACATGCCTGCATTTTGCCAAGTGACCTGTGATCATGTGATCACCATTTGCAATCTTCTTTGCAGGTTCTTTGGAAGCTCGTAGGGAAGGAGGTCCATTCCCCCAGAGGTTTCCTCTAGTCCTGGGATGGCAAACCTATGGCACGTGTGTCATAGGTTGCACGCGGAGCTATTTGTCAGGGCACGCAAGGCGCTGCCCTGTCAGCTGGCCAGCACGCATGCGCACGCTGGCCACCTGAGTTCACCCTTTTTTAAAGCCGTTTTTTGCCATCCCCAGGCTCCGGAGGCTTTATAGGAGCCTGGGGAGGGCGAAAAGAGCCCCCCCCCCGCCCTGGAGGCCCTCCGGAGGCTTCATGAGCTTCCCTGAAGCCTCCAGGGTGCAAAAAACCGGTCCTATGGGCAAAACGGAAGTTCTTCACCTTATTCCTGCAGTGCCCTTGTCACT